AAAAGGCCCTCCTTGACCATCAGCAAACAACCGAAAACTATAAGTGACATGGTTCCCAATAGAAAGCAGAACGCGGCCTAGCCTAGATCAAGAAATTGTAACCAAGGCCTAACTAGACTCGGACCAAACGAGCCCGAACTTCTTTCACAGGCAATCATCCCGGACCACACCTAGAGCCCAACACCGAATAGACCCCCCAACACTAAACCCAGTGACTGCAGAGGCGGGAGACAGAGGCGTGTCATGCCAGGAAGAGGGAGACGAAAGGACGAGAAGCTCGCCGACACCTTGGTGTAGAGCGGTGCCACAACAGAGGTTGTCGGTCCACTTGATTTTTTATTTTTGGTAGGTCCCACTCAATGTGAGTGTTATGTGCACCCCTATGTACAATATTATGTACTTATAGCATTACCCCTGTTTTATATATTAATTTTCCATTTGAAATAATGTTTAATGTACAGTATAAGCATCTTAACGAATTAATTTTTAACTGAGATGAAAACGAATTTTAACTGACATTTTCACAAAGAGAAACTATTTTTTTTATTTTATTTTATTTATTTTTTTTTTTTTTTGTTTCGCTTCATTCGTGTNCAACGAGTTCAGTTTAAGCATGAAACATACATCTTAACAACTGAGAAAAAGATAATCAAGTTCCATCCCCTATGTTAACGAATTAAAAGCTAAAAATGCATATGTTTAGTGATCGATTTTGTCAAAAACTTGGTTGGACAAGTTCAAGAAGTTACTAATATATTTTAAGTCAATGACAATTATATGTTTGTTTAGTGATCAATTTTGTCAAAAACTTGGCCGGACAAGTCCATGAAGTTTTAAATATAAATTTCAAGTCAATACCAATTATTTCCGTTTAATTTTAACTTTATTGAATATTGATGACTAATTGGAACTCCCTCTTGGTCTTATTAGACAGCTGTCTGCTTCTACATTGCACCTTTCGGAATGCACTTCTCAAGAAATTATTTTGGGTGACCGAGAATTTATAAAAATTAAAATAATATGACATGTTTTTGAGATGTATCTTTTTACGGGAGAAATTCTGTCTGGGTCAGGTCTATCAAGAAAAAATTTTAAAATTCTATTTTTTTCGAACAATTTCGCTCAAAAAAGGATAATAATTTCGTAACATCTTTTTATTTAATAACAACATCACGGGAGATAGGACGAGGTTGAATTATATACTGCGAGTGTTCACACTAGGGGCGGTACCGTAATTACTTGGTTTGTTGCGTTCACACTTAAAGAGTTGGTTAATTACGGTACCGCCCCTAGTGTGAACACTCGCAGTATATAAACAACCTCGTCCTGCTTGAATTAAGGACGGACCTCCAACTTATATATAAAAAGACCCTAAATGGGTTGAATAATCACAAGTCTACAAATCCAATGTCTAAGATACAACAAGCTAAACAAATGAAAACAAACAAGAAACAAGAAAAAAGAAACAAAAACAATAAATAACACAAAAAAGATCAAATCCTGGTCCGAGAAGAGTCCATACGAAGAGTCAGCACCACGAGAGAGCAGAAGCACCAAAAGGCAGGGCCGACTATCCAAATCTGAACGATGGGTATCTCATATGTTCCATCCGTATAAAGACACGGAGGCGGAGAGAAATATCGTCAGGATGAAGAATGCGTCTCTTGGGGGTAGAGGTCCCAATGCAAGCGAGGAAGTCAGTAGGTCGGTTTCCCTCGCGGAAAATGTGCGAGATCTGATAGCGAATCGACTGAAATGTGACTTTAATTTTCGGTACGAGAGTTCTTTTCAGGTACGCAACGTTCTACTGGCAAGGAGGAAGAAGGCGAACCAATTTCCAGCCACTCGGAGTGTTTGACGTTACCATGACTGAGGTCGTACTATGGCCTATCCTCGCTGCAATGCAGGCCCATTGCTAGCCTAGGTAGATTTTGACTTCTGAGGTCCTCTCTATACTTATTAACTTGTTTACCTTAGTTTTCACTCATGCTTGTATTCATATTTCTCTACAAATCCCCTACTTGCCTCATTGGGGTCTGGCTTGACCTCCTCAAGCAAGCAATTAAGGCGTCCCGAGGTCACTGCTGAAATTGTCGCTGCGGTACAACAACCTGCCCAACCACCTTCCTCTGTCATACCTCCTCCTATGCTCTCCAGTCAAGGACCCTAAGCCCATCGGGTCCTCGAAGAAATGTTTCCAAGTAAGAAAGAAGCAAAAGATCGGTAGTCCGACCAGGGAGACTACCCAGCGGGAACAACTGAAGCTCAAGTCGAAGAGAAACCAGGTCGTTCTGCGACCTCTAAGGATGTGGGTATGCAATCCATGCACCTGCTTTCAATTTTTTCCTGAGGGGGAAACCAACTGTTGGCAGGCCCAACCGAGCTTCTTATGCCCTTAATCACACCATTAAGGTATGACTAATTCGTAACAATTTTTTATACGTAAAACTTAGGCTTTAGCTAACTTTTCTTTTTATTTTAAGTAAGCGCTCTCTGCTTTGGCTTCTATTCTCAATGAAGAACTATCCATTCACGGACTAACTACCGAGATCAATTGATTAAAGACAGAGGTCAAGGCTCACGAGAATGCCCTTGTCCTCGTGCGATCGTCTCTTCAAGACAATCAAGAAAACTCTGTCAAGCTGAAGGCAGAGAATGCCATCCTCCACACTGAAAATACCCAGCTAAAGGCCCAGTTAGTTCAGCTCATAACTTCATGTCCAAGCGTGAGGCTAAAGCTCGCGAGGAGGACCTGGCCTCCTTCCCGACCTCAGATTTGCGGAGGTTGGGAATTATACCAATTAAAATCTCTGACAGTTTTGTTTTAAATAAATGTTACAGAAACAATGTGAATGTCGAAATCTCAAAGTAATAGTATACTTTTTTAAATAAATATTTATAAATTGAAAATAAAATTTTTAATTTTGTTTTTAAATTTATTACATAATATTTCTTCATTTAACATAGTCATTTTATGATAAAAGGCCGTTCCCAACTGAAAAATCAAAAAAGTGCTCTTGCTGGCCCAAAAAATTAACTTGAGATTTTGGCCCATGAACTTTGGCTGGTGATATTTTAACCCATTACCCATGAATCTTTCGACCAATAAAACCCTTCTAGCCAATTCTTATCTTCTCCACTCACCGTCGCTTTTCAAACTGCACCTTCAAATTCAACCTACAGTTACCTTACTACGCATCCTCTTATACTGCTGCACAAGAATGGCCGCGTCTTTGGGCGTCTTTTCGAGTATCTTTCCGGCTAATACGGCGCCGCTGGCAAGGTTGTCTCCTACGGCCGTCAGGCTTGTCCCCACTAACCTGCGTCCCATGCGCACGGTGACGATCGTGGCCGCGGCGTCAAAGGCCGCCGTGGAGAAGAAGAAGCGGGAGCCGAAGGGGATAATGAAGCCTCAACGCGTGTCTCCGGAAATGCAAGCCTTCCTCGGCGGCACGACTGAGATTCCCCGAACACAGGCGCTCAAAGAGATCTGGGCTTACATCAAGCAACACAATCTTCAGGTATATGCATTTTCGAAACCCATCGTGGTACTAAACCCTAGTTTCTTAGTACTTTTACAGCTCTTGGATTAATTTCATTCCGTAATAGCTTGGTCCGTATTTTGTCCATTGCAAATGGAGCTGGAAGAGTCATTGTTGACAATTCTCCTGGCATAGTGCTAATAATGGACTAGATCAAAATGGCTCAATTAAATTCTAGTGCTTCTTCTATTAGTGAAGTTTCTAAAAAAAAAAAATTATATCAGATGGCGCAATGCACCTTGGGTCGCTACGGAAACAGTCTCCTTGTATAATTACAAGGGTAAGGTCTGCGTACAACTGAACCGGTTGGAAATATACTGGGCATGTTGTTGTTGTTGTTGTAATAGCTTGGTCCGTATGTGAAATATCTAACCAGTGATAGTTAGGTTTGTTTACTTTTGTTTTTCTAATTGTTTTTCGTGGGATTTTGTGTATATGTTGTTTAATTATGAAATGGAGATGAAACATTTGGTTGTTTCTTTGTGTTTGTTATTTGCCTTGTGTTTTGACAATGCGTTTTCCAATTGCTGAATTCAAAACATTGTGCCAAGAGCTTGATATGAATGGTTGGTAGCTTAATGGAGTTTCTATATTATTTTGTGTAGCTAATTCTTTCTGCTCATATGCTGTGTGGTGTAATAGACATTGGGGTATGGATTTTAATACATCTTATCCAACTATTCTTCATGACATTCTAATGAGTTGTGTCATTGTTCGATTTTAGACAATTAATTCATATGATGTCTTGGTACTTGCCATTGGGAGAGCATGTCTACTTTTGTTATTACTTGAGGATTTTGGCTTAGAAACTCAGGAATACTTTTGATGCTTGTGTTATTTGATTGCTGACCGTTTCGTGGTTGGTTGTTCTTCCTTTGATAATGTTAAAAAACACTAATTGGGAAAGGTTTTGTTTTGAAGTTTGTATTTTATTTCTAGCAATTGATCTCGTCACTCCTTAGCTATGCCAGTTGTAGAATATAATGCAGGAAACCCGCTTATCTAATAAAAATATCAATACCCTTTGATATTTCGTTATGTTTCAAAAACTTAGACCAACTAAATAATATTTGGCAAATAAAATGTTTACGTCAAGGGTACTTTTGTGGTACCGGAGTTCTGTAAAGATAACTGGAGTTGCCTGATGGGTATTTCTTTTAATTAAATTATTCATTATCAATTGATTAATATTGTTCTTGTGCACTTCAGGATCCTGCAGATAAAAAAGTCATTGTCTGTGATGAGAAACTGAAGAAAATCTTTGGAGGAAGGGAGCGTGTTGGCTTTCTTGAGATTGCTAGATTGATCAGCCCACATTTCCTCAAGTGATTTGGTGGTTAGTCGAGGGCCTTTTGAAAGAAAACAACGCTTTTTGTAAATGAAGTCTATGTTACCCAAATGTACCAGATTTTATGCTAGTATGTTAGGTGCTCTCTCTCTCTCTATGAGGGAGTAATTTTGGCTTTTGGATCAACATTTGTAGGCTATGAAATGTTCTGTGCTTTTATGATTAGGATCTCTCATGTGTTTGCAGGATCTCTATTATAATCAATTTTGGGATTTCTGTTGAGATTATAAATTACTCAAACTAGATTAGTTTAGTGATTCGGGAAAAGTATGCTAGTGATATGTAGTTTGCATCTCCATTGAAGAAATGCTTGGTGAGTATTAGAGCTGTCAAAAGAAATGAGCAAATGAGCAGTTCCTGAGTTTGGCTAGGCTTGACTTGTTAAAGCTCGAGTTCGTCTCATCTAGTTTGATTTATGAGCTGAGTTGAGCTTGCTTAAAACTCGTTTCATTAACGAGTTGGGTTCGGTTTGGCTCGTTAAGGCTCGAAAAGAGAACTTCTATTTAATTTTCTATATTTCAACTCGTTAAGATTGATTTACTAGTCGAGCTCGAGCTTGATTTTTGGATCGTTTATTTAACACAACATGAGCTTGAACTCACCTCGGCTCGTTTAAGGCCCTAGTGGCTACTATTGTGCTTGATGAGTTTTTCTTTTTTAAATCAGAGCACCATTTAATCCCCCAATTTCATGTTTGAACTGTTCCGTTCAACTATCTGCTGTTGCCAAAAATTCAAAACGTTACTGGTTTACAGT